TTACTTCAAAACTCGACAAAGTCACAGAAAAGCTAAGAACCAATCGGTTTTTAAAAAGCTGTAAGTCCTTTTTTTGTTTAATTTCCAAGCAACTCAGGGAAAAGTTTCGAAACTATAAAAATAAATCTCCATCACCTCTCCTACAAAATATACCAAATCTCAGCATAATTTATATGTCATCTATAAAACATACTACATATATAAAATTAACTATACAGTAGGCCGACATGAGGCACGCCAATTCCTGAAGGAAATGAAAACAAAGACTCTACACTTCTTTTAAGAAGGAAAACAAGAATCTTTTCAGGTGTCCCGAGGACACGCACTCAGTCACCTTAACAGAAAAAGGAACTATCCCGGGAATATGTCAGTATTCCCTCATGTGGCCGCCAACGCTCAGCTACTGAGACATTCCTGCGTCTGGGTGGTTGGTGCCGGTCATTATTTTATCGGTGCTTTAGCTAAGCAAGATAACTGGAGGCGGCCAAGAATGACTATACTGGTGACCTTTGAAGACTTTGGTGCTATCAGGAGAAAACACCCTCCAAAACAGATGAGGAGACAAAGGAGGGAAGAGAAATGAAAACAAGGGGTGTCAGTGAGAAGGCGCTAGGGAAAATCTGCATAAGCAATGCTATGAAACAGGGGACTTCGGTGGGGGGGGGGGGGGGATGAAGACCTGGTTTTTGTTTCCAGCAATGGGATTTCTAAAGTACAAAACTGATGGGTCTCTTAGGACTAGCCCAGCTGTGGCTCCATTACAATACAATACAATCATGTCACGCTCAACGAAAACATGGGGCCAGTGTTCCTATTCCACAAACCTACTGCACTTTAGCCCTAAATCCTGACTATTGTCAGCCAAAACCACCGTTAACCCAGTTCTCTAAAACTAATCCTAAAACAAAAAGAAAACGTGGTACACATCTTTCCTGAGCTCAGTGTTCCCAGGATTTAACCTCCCCTCGCTTTTCTCATGAAAGTACACCTTCCAAAGCATCGGTTTACCTTCCTCTTAAGATCCAAAAGTTTAGTGCAGCAAAACCAGCCCACTTTTTCAAAAAGTCTACTCAGTAAGCAGTCTCTGCCCACACTGGCAAGTCTGTATCGGTTTCATCCTAACCTAATCATAAAACTTGAGTGGGGTTTATCACAGCCTGCATCTTCCTAGGATACGGGAGTGAAGCAGAGTCACCCAACCTAGCCTGGGACAGAGCGCTGGGGAAGGGACTCCTCTGCAAATCAGAAAATGAATTTCTCCATCAAACGCCGACAGCTGCTGTAGTCGCCCTGACGCATGGAAATCCTGCACAGGGGTTGTCAATTACCCAAACTTAACACCCAGAAGGCAAAACCTAGTGGCTTTACCACAGGCTTCGTTTTAACTAGCTTCCCATTCTTACGACCGACATAAATCAGATGGCTTCCAGAGCCCACCCAGGAACTGACAACCTGTCCTAAGCCAGTTAGTTGCTCAGAGAAGTGTGACCAGCAGAGGAGCTGATGTCCTCCAGATGGTGGGGAGGGGTGCCGTACTTGGAGTGAGACCTGCTGGTGGCAGCCAGTCCCAGTCCAAGGGGAAAGTTCTGGTGACTGTGCTCGCAGCAAAGCTAGGGGCCTGGCTATCCCACTTCAAAAGGCCAAACTTTCGTAAAAGCTGAGGGAGTTGGAACAGATTGTTATCATCGGCCCAGGTAACAATGGGCCTAGAGATAAACTGGAGATTGGTGTAAAGCTGAAACAGTGCTTCATTACACAGCCCAGGTTTGACCACACAGCTCTTGATGTAGTGAGTCCAAGAGGGCCTCAGCCTTGTAGTCTTCCTGCCTTGGCCTCCCGGATGCACCAAGTTATACGCGTTATACGCGTGCACCCCCACAGCAGGCTTACGGGTAGTGTGAGAGAGAAGCAACAATTCTCCAACCCTGGACCAGCTCACAAAACACCCCCAGTCCCTCCCCTCCTGCCGTGGCCGGCCATTCAGACTCTAGTGTGCCAGCACCTCCGCCTTGTTTGCCGCTGCATCACATGGCTTAAGCATGAAGATTCAAATGAGGATTTTCGTTATAGACGTTTCCACTACGGAAGTGTGAAAACACGTCTGAAAATGTGCCGCTTACTGTTACCAGGGGGTGAGAGCCTGGACAAGCGTCTTCAGCCCTGCATGTCACCTTGGGTCTGACAACAGTTCTAAGCATAACATTAGAAGAACTCCAGATGGCCAGCGTGGTCATGCTGGCACACTCCTGTAATCCCAGCACTCAGGTAGGCAGAGGCAGGCGGATCTCTGTGAGTTCAAGGCCAGCTTTGTCTACAAAGTGAGTCCAGGACAGCCAAGGCTACACAGAGAAACCCTGTCTTGGGGGAAAAAAAAAAATTCTCTAGCTGACTTGGTGTTTAAACTGCTTCCCAAGTACTATAGGCTGAATAAGCTAAACCTCTCTGAAATCTTCACACCGTTATCTGCCATCTTTCAAGAAGGTCGAACTACAGATTTTGACTAAAAAGTAAAGTCTTCCAAAAAGTTACATTTTGTATTTTGATATGACCTTTTTCTTTTTCCACACTGCCCCAAATTCTGTAAAATTATCTGCTATTTCAAAGAATCACAGGTAAAAGAAATATTTCAGATACTTCTTGTTTATTTGTAGATAAGAGTCTCATTATGTGGCCCTGGCCGGCCTGGAGCTTACTATGTAGACCCGGTTAGCCTTGAACTCGGGGAGCTTCACTTGCCTCTGCCTCCTGGGAAGTGGGATTAAAGACGAGTGCCACCATATCTGGCTCATTTGAACTGTTCTAAGCCACTTAAGGAATTGCACGGAAGTAAACTTACCTACCCAAATTCCCGGCGAACTCATAGAAATTTAACAAAGATAACAGCAATCGTCAGGGCACCTACTTTCTCTCTTTTACGGAAGAGATTTCTACTTCTGGTGTGAAATTCCTGTCGCTGCTTTTTGGTCACTTTGCCAGAACCCAACTTTCTCCACTGTGGAAGACAGCCAGCGTGGTGCAAGTTCTAAACACACACTGCCCTTCAGTCCAACCAACATTGCCACAGCCTGGTTCAAGAACTCAGTCCGGACACAACACACTCCCGGACACCAGAGAACAGCACAGCCCTACACCCTGTGGCCTTTCCCAAGACAAAGCCCTAACTCAGCACTCATTTAAACCATCCTAAGGCACCCATCTCCACCTCCTCCCCCTGCCTTTTCTCTGCTCGTCCAGGGAGAAGCCTGTCCTCTCACTGGAACACGCTCCTGCACTGTCCCTTCATTTAGACCTCCTTTTCACCGCTCCCTGAGCTGGGAAAGCCCAACCAGCTCTCAATTTAGATGCTCTAAATCCTATGCAATCAAAGTCCAGACCAAAAGTTGACTTGGCCGTGAAGTAAATATTCCTTGGTGCCGCTGGCGAGTGTCTCTCATCGTTTATTTGGTGCACCAATAAGGGATCTGTGCCTGCCGATAGCATGTTTGAAGAAAGAAAATCCCATAAGGGCTACAGACAAACCTTATATCCTACCACCCACCCACCCACCAGATGTCCAAAGGCACCCAGTGGTAGCAACAAAAATGTCTGTTGAACAGAGAAACTTAAAAAAATAAAGAAAACAGTGAAAAATGACTCTACAGAACAGATCATTCCTCATATTCCCACTACCTTGGAAGTCTTCAGAAGCATTCTAGTATTGGGGAGAGTTAGATCGACCCAAAGCCAAGGCATGGAGGGGATGGCTTCGCATGGATGATTGCGGAAATGACATGACCTCCTTCAAAGTACTGCCTCCTAAATCCAAAACCAACCCATACACAAACTCCATCGGCCAACAAAGTTCTGACAGCAGGTTTTTCCATCAAAAATATCTGAGCTGTTCTTACAGCCATATCTATAAATGTTTCAGCTGTGTTCAAGGACGGTGAGAAAAAAAAAATCTGCTATTTCCTTACTTCACCTTTGAACGAAGGACAGGCCTGCTGAGGGTGGTAAATGACAACATCGGTTCCGAAGCTCAAGTGCATAAATGCCCATGTCTGCGTATCATCACTGAAAACAGCCTACCGAACTTCAAAAAGTTCCAGCTCTGCTGCTCACACCTTCCGCGGCATCTACAGGGAAGGTACACGGAACACTCGGCTATGCTTTCTCCTCTACTAGGGGAACAGCCTAAAATTTGGGTTACTCCAAGATTAGACATGTTTATTCAAGCAAGGCCATAAAAAAAAAAAAAAAATGTCTGGAAGCCTGCAGAGATATCTAGAGAGAAAAATACAGTTAATCACAGCACTCCACCTCACTGAACTAGCTGGATCAATAAAAGCCTCCTGACCAGATTTCTCAGTAAACCTCAGCCACCAGTTAATTGAGACAGAAAACTTGATTCTGTGAAATAATGCCCACACAAAGGCAGCACTGTATAAAATGAAATTCAGAGCCCACGTATCATGGCTATTGAGGGAAAAACAAAACGTATGGAAAACCGAAGATATGAAATTTAAATAAACAACCGCTTTCAAACTCTTCCTCACACTGCCACATCCTATGCCTTTTCCTGAGGCAACTCAGACCCTTCGGTTACGAAACTAAGAGCGTAAATAAACTTTGCTTTCGGGTTTGTAATCGAGCACACGGAAAGGCATTCATTTCTAAAGTAAAGCGAGCTGCTAACCCTGCGATACGCTTTAAGGCTCAGGACGAAGCGACCATTTAAAATCCTCACGAGCATCCAATCAACCTAATTCTCCGGGAAACCGAACCCTCCTCCGAGGTGGCGGTGAGGCTACAAAGTTTTCCCGGAGCCACAAGCCGATCCTGAAACACTCTTCCTAACCGGACCGGCAGCCGGAGTCCGTGCCTGGAAGCGGAGCCGCGCGGGGGTGAGGGCGCTGGGGGACCCCCGGGCGACGCGGGCCTCCGGGGCAGCGGGTCCCGGCACCTGCGGGGCGCCGGCGGGCTGCGCGTCCCGCCGCGCCGGGACGGGCTGGTGGACTCACCGAGCAGCGACGCCAACAGCCAGGACGCGGGAGCGGAGCGCCGCCGAGTCATGCCGGGGCCGCCGCGGGAGCCGCCGTCCGCCGCGTCCTGGGGCGGCGGGGTGCGGCGGGGGAGCGAGCGGGACGCGCCGAGGCCGCTCCGCCGAGGCTCGGGGCAGGCTCGGGCTTCCCGGGCTCGCCGGCCGCCGCGGCCACTCCCCCCCAACCCCCCAAGCTCCCGCCAGCTCTTCCCCAGCCCGGGGGCTCCCAGCCGCCTCGCCCGCTCGCCGCCGAGCGGTCTCCAGGGCAACCGAGGCTCCAGCGCGACGCCTCGCGGCGGCTGGCAAGACGCGCACAGCTCCCAGCTGGCGAGGCTAGGCACCTGCGGTGGTCCAGGTGGGCTGGACCTAAAACCCGGGACGGGGAGGGGGGGCTCCCTCAAATCCAACACATCGTTCTAGGCTGCAGTTTTCAGACGGTCCCTACCCTGCTCGGCTAATTTCTCGGTTAGCCTCTTCGGAAAAACCAATTAATCTAAGAGAACCTAATTGTCACGACCGACTCTTAGGAGAGTTAGCCTCTCCCGGGGATGAGTGCCAATGCAGAGTCCGTAAGCCACACACAAGCAAGAAAATTTGATGGGGCAGGTTGTAGATAGATAGATAGGTAATTTTTATAGAGATACAAATGCTTACACATATTTATGTAACTAATAAAGAGGCTATCAACTCGAGAGTGGAGCAAAAGCAATGGAATGCTGTTTCTATTTAAAAAAAACAAAAAACCAGGATGACCTTAAACGCCTGATCTTTCTGCCTCCACCTCCCAAGTCCTGGGATAACAAGCCCGCCACTATGCTTGTTATCTTCCGATGTTTTTAAGGGGTCCCTCACAATGCTAAAGTTCTCTTAGACTACTTTTAATAAGTACCTTGACTGTGACAGCTATTGCTTTAGCCGGATTCTTGCCTTTCGATTCTCGTTTGTTGTGGTTACGTGGAAGAGACCTTCGTAACAGTTGAAACCCTTTTACTTTTTTGAGCTGCGCTACCGGGATTCCCTTCCCATTTCGCTTTCTGCTTCGTTTTACAACCCAGAGTCATTTTCTGCTTCTACGTTCACACTGGGCCTTCTATAGTTGAGGACTTAGTTGCCCGGCCACGTGATCAGATTCTGACCAGCCTAGATTAGAATTCCTGGAACTGTTCGGAATTCTGAGCTCCCCACCCCCGCCCCCGCACCTCACAGAAACAATCTTGCCAGAATAACTCAGAAACAATAGTACCCTCAGAAGCAAAGCAAATGTGGAAAACACCTTTTAAAAAGAAGTACCTTTGCACAAAGATTGAAAGTTATGGGGAAAAACAAAAATAATCAAGAAAGTAGAATTATAAACATTTTTTGAAAACTGGAATGTTATATTTTTTAAGCAAAAAGGGGAAATATTAAAAATGCCAATCAGGGGGCTCAAGTGAGGACAGTGGTTAAGAGCACTTGTTGCTCTTTCGGAGGACCTGGATTCTGTTCCCAGCACCCACATGGTGGCTCACAGCCATCTGTGATCCAGTGCCCTCTTTTGACCTCTGAAGGAACCAAGCACACATGTGGTGTATATATAAGTGTAAGGCAAAACACTCATAAGACATAGAAAATAAGTATTTTAAGATAGTGCCAATCATTTTAGCAAGAGTGTCATGAAAAGATAGTCTGTTCTTATGAGTTAGAGATGACTCAGCCTTCGCTCACACTTCCTATTGTAAGACCTGGGGTCTCACAGCTCAGGAGTTCAAGATCGTGCTCTTCCCAGAAACTCCCCCAGACCAAGACTCGTTGTAAAAGCAAGAGGTTTATTAACCATTGCGCAATGGGGTCACCCCTGCCGGTCAGCAAAGAGTGGCACCCGGAGACAAAGGCCTTTAGGTTTTTAAAAGAAAAATTGTGGGAGATTTGAAGTTGCAGTCTTGGCAATTTAGGATTGGATGAGGAAGCTATAAAGTAAGATAATTGGTTAGTCTTAGGTACTAAAGCTTGGCCAGTCCTGCCAAGTGTGGATGCAGCTACAATTTAAGGTGGGGGTGGTTAGCTCATCCTTGAAGATTAGGGGCTGCAGACTTTTGGCTGGAGGTCAAAAGCTACTCAGAAGAAGTCTAGGTTTGTTGCTAAGAAATGCTATCTCAAAGACAGGAGTTTTTCTTTTTGCTGAGTGAAGGTCATTGCTTGCTTGCCTTTTTTTCTATCTGTCCTCATAGATAGGGTCACATTTTTTCATTCTCTGGAAAGGTACTAAGAGGCTTTAGCTTAACCTGAACCTAAAACTCAAAACTGTAGGCTTTAGAAGACATACAGGTTACAAAGTTAGTCTAACCCTTTCACTATCTCTCTCTCATATTAATAACAAGTTTAAATTTTCAACATTGGTGTCACCTGTAGCTTGTTCTCATTCCTTTTCCTTCCGGACCAAGGACTAGATTTTATTTTCTCCATCCAGTCCCTTACCCTGTCTTGTGTATAATCTGACCCCTGTCCTCATCAGAGCACAGAAACAGTATAGGTAGAAAAGAAGTTGTGAAGTGGTCAGTGCATTCACTTTGCCTTGTCATGACCCCAAATTTAAATGACACTCGATGTTTAATTTTTAGTTAAGTAGAATATCTAGAAGCCTGTGCTTAAAAGTCCTGATAAAGCAAGTTGCTGGCTACACTTATTACAGGAATGCAGCAAATATTAACTAAGCGGAAATGCTGTGTCAAGGCACTGGGCTGAAGGTTAAACAACAACAACAAATCCCTGCCCCCCCCCATAAATGCCACTTGTACCTTGAACTACGTATGTGCTGTCACAAATTATCACACAAAATCATCAGAGCCTCTTTGTCAGCACGGTGAGTCCTGCCCACTGAACAGGAGCCCATGAGCCATGGTGCTAGCAGTTTGATGGAGGAGCCCTGTCATTGAAAAGGCTGTGTGGCTTCAGAAGGGAGACAGAGAAGGGTTGGGTAGTGGATAGAGTACCCAGGCGATCAGACCAGCAGAATTAAGAGATCCCATGCTGAACCCAAAGGCCCTCAGCTGTTCTCTCCTCCAGGAAACACAGGGAAGGTGTGATCGTTAATTCACAGAAATACCATCATGTGCTCTGGATACATTATTAGCGAGGATAAATTTCACCATGCTCTTTTATCCTAATCTCCCTATAACCACAGTAGGATTTCTTTAAATCCCTTAAGTCTTATGCATGAGAAAGCAACAGACATCAGACATTTGTATCCTGTTTTATGTTTCAAAGTGCGTTTACATATGTTATCTGGTTTGATCTTAACTACAATGACAGGGGGTAGGGAAGGTGCTTATTACAACTCCTTGGGGGGTAGGGAAGAGACTTAGGGGTATACAGAGTCTCAAGGGAATCAAAGATGCCCCATGGACTACAAATACCAAGTAGAACCAGAACCAAGTCTTCTAACACGCTCACTACAGCTTTTCCAACTACATTAGGAAGTCATTTAAAGACGTTGTGGTGTCTTAAAGCTAGTCTGAGGAATGCTGAAGTTGTCTCCCCAGTATTTATCCCCTCTCCGTCCCACCACCATCCCCACGACCACCCACCTCCTCTTGTCTGACAAAACTTTTCCTGAGGAGATGAAACACATTCATCTCTTTACCCCAGATAGGGAACCACAACAAACTGAAGTACAGAGACCCATCAAAGTCCAACTCTGTGAACCAATTCGTTTTATTGGGTTACTTACAGGAATACGGGTGAGGGCTGAAATGACTCTGACAGCTGCATCACCAAAGCCCACGCCATCATGGGTGACAGCCTGCAGGCAGCTCAGCATGTTGGAGAGGTTCCTTTCCCTTTCAGCATCCCTCACTTTGCCTAAAGCTCTTCCAGGCAGCTCTTCTTTGCAGCTGGGCTCTGCTTACTCTGGAAGGCAGGGACTACAGCATCTGGTCAGTTTCAGGGACTTCCTGAAGCTATTTTTTTTGTTGTAGTTTACTCCCCACGTAAGGAGCTCCCCTGCGGGATCCTGAAGGAGACTGTTATACAACACCCCGACTTTGGTAGCAGTTACCAGCTGGATGGCATTGTGCCAGGGCAGTTGTAGCCGGCCTAAGAAAGAAATGGAGATGAAGTGAGATGAGGAATGGAACCCGGATGAAAGACCCTACTGTGGTTGGCACAGCCCTCCTGACTCAAACCGTAGATGGCATGAGGATGGATTCAACGTGCTGCTCATCCAAGTTTAAATTTAACTTTTCAATCCATCAAAATGCTGGGCCAGTCTCTTTCCAGGATCAATCCATTTGTATTCAGGAATGGAAAATTAATTTTATTATTGGCGTAGGAGAAATATAATTAAGAATGAAAAAGGAATTATAAGGCTTGCTGAAACTATATATAATTTTTTTTGAATTAGATATTTTAAAGTGTTAACAACCACAGATCCCTTTCCTTTGGTGTGTATAAATTAAATATTAATTGCATTTAAATTTGGAGGTTTAGTATTTATGGAGTGGTTCTGTATGGATGTTATTTTAAGGCTAGTAAAGAGCAGTTTGGGCCATTTGCTTATTCTGTATTTTCAACCAGCTGCTTAGAGCCAGATGTTGTCTACAGACATGGTTGGTCTTTTTAAAGATAAAATATGAGGAATTCTCCTTACCTTATAAGCAATCAGGAAAAAAAATCTCTAAAATAACAAAGAAATGGTAGAAGAGAAAATGATGGAATCGTCCAAACAAAACAGAAAGGAAGCTAGCAAGTGCCCTTTGCGTGCTGACATTAAAGCATTTAGCATTTCAAACGATCTTCTTAAATTTCAGAGTATTTATAGCCTACCTGTGCCTAGCTACACCGTCTCTCACATCTGAGACCTCTCTCTCTCTCTCTCTCTCTCTCTCTCTCTCTCTGCAACTTTTGCTAAACAGGATTTAAGCAAAGGTGATTAGCAATCGCTTCCTCCCTCCCAATGCCCAGCACCTATCATCCTTGTGAATGCTGTCAATGGAAATGTCTACAGCACCTACATCGATTGGAAAACCTCGGCCCTTTTCTTTAAAACATTTCCATCATGAACGCATTTAAATAAAGTCACTCAATCCGTGATAACAGAATGCTGGTGAATTCTTCCCAATTTTCAAATGGCCTCAGTGACTTTTGGAGACTTGACACGTGCAGCACCTTAAGTAGCATTTCAC